GTCACTAGTTGCAAGTCAACACATCAATGAACAAGGATTCTCCAATTATTTGATTGCTTCGATAGTCAGGACTTAACTAGGCTACTTATCTTTCATCGAAAGTCAAATTCCCTTGGACAAGTGTTGGGAGTTAACAAGACATTTAGCTCCTTTTTTTGGCACTTCTCCTTGATCTTTCTAGATGACCCATGTAGTGAGCTTTAAGCCAATAACTCCCAAGTCAAATGACTTTAGGGCACCAATTTTTCAAAAGCTCTTACAAGCTTAATAACCCAAGTAAAAAAAGCTTTAAAGAGAACAATTTTTTTTAGTTTTTTTTTTTAGGGTAATTTTCTCTCGGATTGCTTTTTAAATGATCATTGTAGCGAGCTTTAGACCAATGACTCTCAAGTCAGATGACTTTAAGACAACCCTTACAGCTTAATTACTTGAGTCATAAATGCTTCACAGAGAAGTTTTAAATTTCAAAATATATACCTTGATTAGTACAATGCCCCTTATCACACACTTATTCAAAGCAAACCAACCTCCAACTTAAGACATTCACCCAATTTTATCATGTTAGTCTAAAATAATCCACACAAAACCTTTTTTACACAAGGAATCCACATTCACATTTGCTCTTCCTACAACAATAAAATCATCCAAACGGTGCTAAATTTGGTCTAAGGATAATTAATTTAGTATGGTTTGGATAAAACATCTATGTCCAACTAAATCAACCTATTAAGATCATGAAATAACTCATTTTATCACAATGTCAAACTCAATTCTAGTGCGTATATAATATCAAGTTTTGCAAGATTAAGTTTCAATCAATCTAGTATGCACCCTGTCAACAGTTCATAAATCAACACTAAATCTTAAAATAAATCATCATAATTAGCCATACTGCCTAAGACATACAAGCACAAAACCTAAAAAAATTAACGATATTTTATTTATTTGTTTTTATAAATAAACACACAAAAACAAACCACAAAAATCAAAAACTTAAAGTTTTTTCCACCCCCAAACTTGACCCAGACATTGTCCTCAATGTCATAATGTATAAGTAAACACATAGGGCGGGGAAGAAAAGGAAAATGGTACTCTCAAAGTTTTCTGTTGAATCTGTGAGGCACTATGGGTGACAGCTCGACAATCTCTTTCATCATGCTTTTTCTTTGATCTATGGTGGTTTGAGTGTTCCACGACGTCATGTTCCTGCATATAGCGGTCAAATTAAATGTTAATGATCAAATAATCTAGCACATGTGTTACTTAGCCAAAAGAATCGAAATAACCAACAAAAAAAATTCAAGGGCCAAAGGAGAAACATAATAGGATTGTGATACCCCATAAATTTAAACGTGCCTAAGTCTTGTGCAGACTAATAATCAAAATAAATCTACATGCAAATGCGGTGCAAAAAGTATAATAAATAAAAGAGTTAGAAAGTTGGGTTGCATCCCAATCAATGCTTAATTAATAGTCTTTAGCTAGACTATATGAAGGAATTGATCAGGGTTGTTTAAACATGTGTCTTGAGCTTTTGCACTCCTTGCAATTTTTTGGCCTTGCATCCTCGTTTTTGTCCTCCAAACTTTGAGCTCTCCATTCCCCTCTCGTCCAAGGCCCCCTAAACTTTTAGGCTTTAGATCCTTGTTGCACTATCTCAGCAATATACTTGCATTTTTCCTTAGCCTTTTTGTTGATCTTTCCATGTACTAGATTCTTGATAATAGTTTAGATCTTGAACTTCTTTTGTTGATCATCCACTCTCAATGTCAGTTCGCCACTTTCAAAGTCCATGATAGCTTGGCTTGTTGATAGACAAGATTTCCCAAGATAAGTAATGCTGCATCCCATGTCCCCTCTATATCTAGGACTACAAAATCAACTTGGAATATGAATTTGCCTACTTTAATGAGCACGTTCTCAACTACTCCTCATGGGTATTTGATTGATATGTCCACTAATTGAAGTGAGATGGATGTGTCTTTCAACTTTTCCAAACCTAAGTTCCTGTATACAAAAAAATGCATTAGGTTTATACTCGTTCCTGAGTCACATAAGCAATTAAAATTCAAATCTTTTCCTATTGAGCAAGGTATTTTGAGACTCTCTGGATATTGTAGTTTAGGAGGTAATTTGTTCCGCAATATGGCACTACACTCTTCATTTAACTTGATGATCTCAAAATATGTAAACTTTCTCTTTTTTTCATAAGACCTCCTTCAAAAATTTTGCATAGTTTGGTATTTGAGATAAAATTTAAGTCAATGGGATATTAACATAAAACTTCCTGAAAATATCCAAAAACTTTGCAAATTGTTCTTCCAGCTTCCTCTTTTGCAATCTCTGTGGAAATGGGACATGAGGCACGTAAGGTTTGATAGGAGCAGCTGTCTTAACCGGTAGATTTTCTGACTCTTGATATGAAACTACTTTATCTAGCTGTTCGGATTTATCCACTTACTCCTCATCTGTGAAAGGAACCTTTTCATTTATTTTCACCCGTCTCTTAACTGTGATTTCTAGAAGTTGAACCCCACTATGTATGGTGATTGCTTCAATCTCCTCACTCTCATAAATGACTGAAAAATCAAAATTTGACTTTGATTTGATTACTACCAAAAGGATTGCTTTTTCTGATGGGGAAAACCACAAGTCAAGCTTTAAGAATGCGTTAAATCAATTTTCAGACATTAAGTTTTAAAAATGTAAAAGTTAGGTGTTAATTCTATTTTAATTTTAGATAATAATATTATCAAATTAAATTAATTTACCCACACCTATCCCACCCATCCTCGTGTACCAGTCATCGGCATCTATCTACTAATGACTTCTTCAGGATGAACATGAGCATCGCTAGGTCAGAACCCACACCTACCCTATCCATCCTCACGCACTAGTCATCGACATCCACTCACCGATGACTTCTTCAGGGATGAGCAGAGCATCTCGGCTCAGATAGTAAAGATAGAGGGAAAAATATAGCGATCGTTAGAGCATCGACTTGTGTAATTTACAAAATACTTACAAGGGCAAATAATTTCAATTCTCATTGTAAAAATTTGGTTAAATGAATTTGCGACCAACTCAAATAATTGAGGTCAGAGAAATTAATGGCTTGTGATAAGATCCATTGAATTTGTAACATGTGACCTATGCACTTTGACATACGATTTGTGACCTGATCCAATGATATGTGTGTGGCCAAATCTCTTGGACCTGTGGCATGTGGCCTGAACTAATGGTCTATGACCAAATCTCTTGTATCCATGACCTATGGCCTATGCACTTGACATGTGACCTATGTCCTGATTCAATGGCCTGTGAACAAATCTCCTTGGTCTGTGACCAAATCTTTTGAATTCGTGACCTATGGCCCCTGCACTTTGACATGTATCCTGTTACATGTGATCATGATCTGATCCAATGGCCTGTAATCAAATCTATTAAATCTATGAACTATGACATATGCACGTTAACATGTGACCCATGCACTTTGATAGGTCACATATTCAAGATATTTAGTCACATAAACTCAATCGACTGTGACCTACACACCGCCACCATCACTACCTATGGACATTGAATCATCCCCAAGATTCTACCACTATAACACTCTACCACAACCGCCACTACCGCACAACCACTAAAAACCCAATAGCCAAGTAAATCACCAACGCCAAAACTCCACTCTTCAACCTCTACAAATCCATTACAAAATACCAACTTCCACTTACCGTGGCCATTGGAATCCACCACCAATAAATTCCCCCTCTTCAACCTCTACAAATCCATTACAAACATTAGCCCAAACAATAAACAAATTGGACCAAAATATGGCTTCAAAATCGCAAGTAACAAAAGGCCTCCATCCATATTCTTGCCACTCCGGCAACACCCATGGTCGTGGACCACTACCAGCTGATTCTCCTCACCAAGGTGACCAATTTCATGGTCTTGATTCATCAAAAACAGTCCCACACATTGATTTCGAGAATAAAAAAATTCCATAGTCGCGAACGGTTTCTACAAGAATAGGTAATTGCTCAATTGATGGACTAAATGTATTCCAAAAGATGAATTTTACCCAACAACATCCAATTGAGGTCAATAATACTATGGATAATCCATCAATTGAACCAATTAACCAACCAATTGATCCAAATTTTAGGATATGTTCTGAAAATATCCTTTCGCGTATTTAGACTTTCTCTCAACCAATTGATGGCTCCACTGTGCTTCAATACAACAAATCTGTGGGGTAAAACCAATGGATGTCCAAAAGATGCGCTGAAGAGTGAGAGTGAGAGATGAGTAGAATAATATTAATTTTGATTAAAAACCTGATTTATGTTCAATTATACTTTAAACATAGTTTTAGAATTGATATCTTTAAATACTTGTTGTGATGTAATTTCCTCTTTTCTTATTCCTACATCGAATTATGACTACAAAATCACACGAAATGTTGTTGTATAAATGGGTGGGCCAACAATTGGGTAAGCAACCTTTCTAGGTCTCAAGAGGCTGAATGTTGATAAATCTATAATTTTAAACCACCAACCAGCTGTAGAAACCAGTTCCGTGGCATCCACTTAGTGGATAAACCAAATTCACCTATTTTTTTTTTTTACCGATTTTTAATTAAGTGTGTTTAAGTTTTAATTGAACCAGATTATGAAACGGTTCTCGATTTTTCCCGTTGAGCCAGCCGGTCCGGTTAGGTTTTTATAATTACATAGTTCAAATTGAATAAAATCGAAAGACGAAGGATTCAAAAGAAGCATAGAAAAGGACTCAAGGTGCAAATAAGAAGAAATCAGAAATCAAAATAGAATGGGGTGTTGCAATCGCAAGGAATCACCCTGTGTGATCGCAACTAATTAGGAATCATGTTTAGCAGAAGGCGAATCCAGTTGCCTGTGCAATCTGAGATTAATGCGTACGACTCATGTTTATTATGGTACGATCTGACCTACTCTCTCAGTATCTCTTAACAAGAATTGGATGAAAATTCCTTATACACAATTTCATATATAACTTTCATCTTACTTTTTGCTTATATTTTCACTTTACACCAGTAACACACAAAAAAATGAAAAAAAGAAGAAGATATTGCATCAACTTCAACAAGAATCTAAGTATTACTAACTAAACTGAAAGTTGGCGACATAAATTCATTTCTGGCTATAGATTCGAATCTATCTAACATGAATGGAAGGATAAAGCAAGGTGGTGGTGGTGATGGTGAGGAAAATAATTGGCGCTGTGACTATTAGCCTCCTTTTCAATCTGCCACCGAATATGAAGAAATTGGTCGACTGAATATGGAAGTTTAAGAGGGCCCGTAGCATTATACCCATAAACTTCGCGAGCTTTGTCAAGGAGTTGCTTGAACAAAGGGTCGTGCAGATATGATATTGGGATGACAAATCTTTGGTAACCTCCATCTTCATCTTCTAGCCCAACGCTAACTGCAAGACACCCTTTCTTTACTTTCATCTTCTTATTCTTTTCCTGCATTTTATTCTCCATTTAAACTACGGGTTAAGAGAGAGAGAGAGAGAGAGGGAGAGAGAGAGAGGAAAGTTTCCTTGATAATTGCAGAATAAACGATCAAATATATACACACATATACTATGTACAAGGCCGTATATGTGAGGGAAAGGTTACTTGAAGATTTATTATTTATTATTATATAAAAGAAAAGGTTCTCAAATGAGTCGTCTGAATATTAGGGATCTTTATAAAAACCACAGCAGACAATTCACAATTGGAGCTTTATTTAAGTGCATCCTTTCGGGACCATCTAAGGCCTATTAGGGATCATTAGGTAAAAAGTAAAGTTAGTTAATACTACCATTTATTTTTCAAGATCTAATTTTATCCCAAGCATGTAAGAAATATTCTTAAGGAGCTTTTTTTGATTGTGATATATGCTGCAACCCAATTGTCAATTCTTTATTTGATCAAATTCGGAGTGTGACTCATAGGAGTCTCACAGAGAAAATTTTAAGGGACATCTACACAAACACAAAGGAAAAGAGAAATAATTAACGTGAATGGGCGTAGTTGAAAAGATTATAAGTCCCCATTTGGCTCCATTATTTCAAAATTCATTTTTTTCAAACTTATTTTTAACTATGCATTCTTACAATAACATAATTTACATGTAAATTCATAACGTTTTCCTACTTTTTAACCACATATTCTTAAAAAAAAAAAAACTATTTCTAAATCAATTTTTAATTTTTTTTCAACATAATAGGGCTCAAACAAGAGACTTAAAAACTATATTAATAATATTGGTAACGAAGTTTCTATTTAGCTTCTTTTTCTTAAAATTCATTTTTTTCTCAAACTCATTTTCAACAACACAATTTGCCGAGACCTAACACTTTCATCAACTTTTCAATTACACATTTCACCAATTTTTATCCAAACCAAAATGGGGCGAAGATTTATTTTTAATAAGGAACAGCAATAAAGACAAATATAAATTAGAAAAATTTGTATATTTTATTCTCAATCTTTTAAAAACAAAATAGATATAGATATTATAATGCAAACAACATAGATATAGAAATCTTTTAAAAAATTACTTATTTTAATCATGAAATAAATGTTATTATTAAAAAGAGGCAACTTTCTCGGTATTTAATTTTGCCAGGAAAGTAAATATTTGTTAGAATGTGTGGGTATAAAAGGCTTATGTCCACTTCCAATAATATTTTGATAACAATTATGTACAATCATGGCCAAAATTTTTCAATTATTTGGAATGACTCATCGTCAAAGTTATTTGGGACTTTTGTCTCACGTGAGTAATCATTAGGTATTTTCTTAGACTTTGTTTGTCTATCATTATACAACATTATTTTTTTTTTACAGTACTCATTTATAATTCCATATTCTTCATTAAAATAATATTACACGTAAAAAAAAATCATTTTTTTAACCATACATTTCAATATCAATCACTATTCCATAATACATTCTTCACAAATAATGAGGCACAAACACCCCCTTACTTTGATCGGTGAAGCCTAGAGGCAAGTTTTGAGTAGATTATCTGTTTAGTGTTTTCTCTGCCCTCTCATTGTGTTGAATTGAACAGTTCTAAAAGTGACAATGTTGGACAAGGTGGAGTCATCGGCGTTGGTGGATGGAGGTGGAGTTGCCAATGATCGGTGGGCTAAAGGAAGAAGATATATGGAATTTGGGCCTCTTTGTTTTTCTTCATTTTTGGGGATCATTTTGCTCATTATTTTTATTTTATTTTGTACTATCCCTTTCCTTATTTATTTAAAGTGAATGGTAAATTTGGATTTTTACGCTCTGTAAATAGACAGATTAAACGGAATCTGTGAAGAGGGATGAACACTGCATATTTTTCTAGAAGGTTGGAAATAAATGGTGAGAATAAAAAAGGTTGAGGACAAAGTTGAGAAAAGTATGCAATTTTTCATATAAATTAACATTTTAAGATCCAACTTGATTTAATATTATGTATTAAATATGCTCACTATGTAAGTTTGTTGTAAGCTTATCATTATCTCTATAGCATATATTGCTACTAGAAGAAAGTAAAAAAATGATGAGCACTCCCGCCACAAGTTGGACGTGACATGAGCCAATTTCTTAGATGGCATATTTCATTTGAGTGGTGCACTCATTTAGAGAGGACTTTCTTTCCATCTTGCCTTTTCCTTTCACTTTTCCACCTCGTACTCCTTTTCATAGGTGCATATCCTAAATAATGATATTATTTATATCGATAGTGTGGATACCAGTCATATCAAATTATGTCCTCATACGTACAAAAAAGTAAAAGTATGTCAAAAGTGATTTTTTAAATTAATTTTGTATTCCCAAAACGAGTGTGGTGGACTTGAGGCACTGTATTTTTTTATTTTTTTTTTTATTTTTTTTTTGATATCTAAGTATCCCAACTTACACTAGACTAAATTCTGGACCCCCAAAATCCTTTTCCCTAGAGGAGCATAGGGAGATTGTATGATCTAGACTATTGCGGATCTAAATGGGTTACTCCAAATAACATTTAGCATCTATTTGTTTTGGTCTGTTTGGATAAGAATTAATTTTTTTTAGTGAATTTTCATAAAAATTGGTAAAATGTATGGTTGAAAAGCTAATAAAAGTCATGACTCTCACAAAATGTGTGGTTAAAAATGATTTAAAAAAAAAAAATGAACTTAAAAAAATTTAACAATTATATGTTTCTACTGCAATTTTACAAATAGTTAGAGAAGGTATTCTATATGACACAGCTTGAGAGCTTTGAGGTTCAAGGGAAATATCATATATTCTCTTTTAAGGTCACTTTGTGAAATAAAACAAGCTTGAAGTCAGCGGTCTAAAAGGGTACATGCCTTATTGTATGTACTTCAAGAATTTTTAATCCTTTTATTTACTATTCTATGCTAATGATAGGCAGTTTGATGGGGCTAACATGCCAACATAATCAAATTGATCTCATCTTGTGGTAAATTAATAATCATTAAATTCACAAAAACATATAAATAATCCTATCCAGGGATAGACGAAATACTCGACAATCAAGTGAAATTCTATTCTCAGAATGGTCATCCTATAGAATCAAACTCAATACATAAATTTTACAATACATTGCAAGCATACTATTATCAACTGGGATAAGGACAAATCACAATCCTAAGTCATGAATCAGTCAACATTTACGACCTTCTAGTACAATGTGTGAATCTTTATATATTGATTGTGAACAAATTATTTATGATAAAAATATAAATTACGTCACATTGTACTTCTCAATGCAAACACTCAACTTATATTATTACAGTTCATTCCCTATCATCAATCTGTGTATGGTTTTGCCGGGTAAACCAAGTCTTTGATTTGGCTTTTAGGGAGTGGAGCAGGTGGTGGTAGTGATGCTAGATGAGCCATAGATACAACTTCTAGTGGATTACCTATTTAATACTTTTTCTGCCCTCTGATTGTGTTGAATTAACCTTTCTAGAAGATGAGCTTTGAGCTTTTTATTAGTGGCAATGTTGTTGGACAAGGTGGTTTCGTTGACATTGATGGACGGAGTTGGAGTTGCCAGTGGTGGGTGGCAGCTGCGGACACAGACATTTTAGACTAGAGGGTCAGTAATGAACTTTTAAAAAAGTGATGAAAAAATTAAAATAAGATATATCTTATTACAATTGCTGTTTACGTGTTCTCATACTTTGATAACGTTCCATAATTACATCATTTTCAATCCTATCAAAAACATCTTTCTCAATATATGCAATCAAACTATCATTCAGCCACGGGAAGAGCTAAGGCTAGTGTCACAAGTTTGTAAACTAATGGATGCACTTCATGTTTATTCTTCACAACCAACTTCTGTGCAAGATCGCTAATGCCTTGTAGTTCTTCAAAGTCTTCAGAAGTGCGCATATCAAGAATATACGTATCTAGTTAATCATCAAGTTCTAAGATATCTGCTGCATCAAAATCTATTGGATAAAACTGACATAGTCGAATCAATTTGATCTTGTCAAAAGCAGCAAATAAATTATTTGGAGATAAACACGCTACACAAATAAGCAAGTCACTATTTACTTCAGAAAAACGATCATTCAACTCTTGAAGTTGCATATCAATGTTGGCATAAAACATTTCCACACTAAAATGATGCAAATTTGTCACTATCTCACGCTGTGAACGACCTACAGTTACGAACATATCATCCATATCGGGAACATTGATCTTGTGAGTTTCACACAACGAACAAATCACTCCCAAAAAAGAATCTCATCCATCATCCCTCATGGTTTGGAGCTATGTTTTACATATTTGCACCAATCTCATAGCATTGACAATATCTTGATCTTTTCTTTGTAATGTTCTTGACAATTCGTTTGAAATCCCTAAAATCTTTTTCATGAGATGTAGATTAAATGGAAATTCAAATCTTAACATCAACTCCAATGAAATACATGCATCACCTCTTGTTCCGGTACTTGTAGTATCAGTAGCAATCATCTCAATAACGTTGACTATAGTTGAAAACATGACAATCAAGTTAATTAAACAACTATAGTGAGAGCCCCAACGTGTATCACTAGGACGCTGAAGAGTAATTTCTTGATTGAGACCCCGTCCGCTTGATATTTCACCAACACTGAGTGATTCAAGAATTTTCAATCTTTGGTTCTCTCGAATAAGATCACTCCGTTTAGCTGATCCTCCAACAACATTCACCAATCTATGTACTGTAGTGAAGAAAGTTTCAATCTTCGGATGTTTCTGTGCCAGAGCTACAAGAGCTAATTGAAGTTGATGAGCAAAACAGTGAATGTAGTAAGCACTTGGATTTTCTTTCAAAATAAGTGCTTTGAGGCCATTATACTCACCTCGCATGTTCCTAGCTTCATCATATTCCTGACCTCTCAAATTAGATATGCTTCAGCTATGCGTTGAGAGTAATTGATCAATTGCAGCCTTAAGTGAGGCAGATGTGGTATTCAAAACATAAATGACACCAATAAAATGTTCCAATATACACCCATTCTTCACATAACAAATGACAACTGACATTTGCTCTTTCACAGAAATTTCTCGCGATTCATCAACTAAAATTGAGAAGAAACTATCACGAACATTTTCGATAATCACATGTAGACATTCAAAAGCAATAGCACTTACAATATCTTTTTGCACTCTTGGTAATGTTAATTTCAAATTCTCAGGTGCATTTGTCAAAGCAACGACCTTAATCTCAAGATTATGATCACACAACCAATGCAGTAGTTCAAGAAAGTTTTCTTGATTGTTTGAATCTTCAGATTCGTCATGTCCACGAAATGTCATCCCTTGTCGTAAAAGAAATCGAACACAATCAATTGAAGCATTTAATCGGATTCGATAATTTGTTCGAGCTTGATGCGATTGTTTAACGAGACAAGATCGAATACGTTGTTCTTGATTCTTGAACAATTCATATTTGACCTGAGCGTGATTCTGTGCACTACTTGAAGCCTCAATGTGTTTTCTTATATATTCTTTGTTTTTCCAATTTGAGAGTCTGCCTTTAATAAATGAACCACCATTCAAACCGAAAAGATAACAGTAAAAGAAAAAAACTGCATCCTTTGCTATACTGTATTCCAACCAAGTGGGATGCTCATTATACCACGAAATACAAAATCGTCGGTCTGTTTTACCTATTCTTGTGGGTGGAAATATATGATTGCGAGGCTGACAAGGACCTCTTTGCATATATGCTCTTCGAATCACATCTTGAATATTAACATCATAATTCTGTATTAGAACTCTCAATCCAGGATCAGAGGGTAGCTGTGCAACATCAACATTCCCAACATCTCCAATATCCCTAACATCTCCAATATCCTCAACATTTTCAACGTCTCCAATACCCCCAAATCCAACATCAACATCTCCAACGTCTCCAATACCCCCAACATCTCCAACATTTCCAACATCAACATCTCCAATACCTCCCAACATCTACAACATCAACATCAACTTCCCCAACATCGTTTTCATCACTTTTCTTTCAAACATTCCTTCGACTGATATTTTGTTCATCACAGGAAAGTGTAGATTTACGTTTAAAGCATTTTTCCATAACTGAAACAAACCAAAAATGAAAAATCAACAAGATTAGAAATGCCTAAATCAGTTTATACTATGTCATACCTACCAAAAGTCAAACACAGTTTCAATCTTCCCAAATCAATATTATCACATATAAATAAGTAACAAAGCCCTAAATCAGAAAAGGGTCAATTTCCTAAATCAAAGGCCTAAATCAGAAATCCCTAAATCACATTTATTGGGTAGGAACAGGAATCATAATTGTATTGTACATAAATCCAAATTTAGAAATAGAACTAAGCAACTGGCTAAGGCTATTGACTATTGCAGAGCAGTTACAGACTTACAGTCTTGGACACACTAAAATTGCAAGAATTCAAAGAAAAAAACTAAAATGTAACTAGAGAAGAGAAGTGACACAGCTTCTAACCTTCAAAAAGAGTAGAACTGTAGTCCGTCCCTGACTAATTGTCGAAGGGATCTGTTGTTGCAATCTCATGGAGGCGGTCTAGGCGGATGCGAAGTTGAAATTGAAAGCAAATGGAAATGGTGGCCGGTGCGTGGGAAAGACTAAAGAGAAAGGCAGAAACAAATGGCTGCAGGGGTGGATCGGTGGCCGGTGGGTGAGTGCTTCAATGGTGGGAGTGCACTGTGGCAGTCTCACGGAGTGGGGGTTTGTGATTTGATGTATTGATGTGATAATTTTTTCTTACCTCATATATTAAATCACTAACTGCCATATGTATGCCACACAGGATAACTGCGAGAGTGAGTGACTGCAAATAATATTATTCAATAAAAAAGGTAGAGAACAAAGTTGAGAATGATTATGCAATTTTCCCTTTAATAACATTTATTATCCAACTTGATAGGATATAATGTATTAAAATTAAATATGCTCCCTATGGAAAAGTTTATTGAAAGATTATCATTATCTCTACAGCATATTGCTAGTAGAAGAAAGTAAAAAAGTGATGAGCACTCTCTCCACAAGTTGGGCGTGACATGAGCCAAATCTCTTCGATGGCACATTTTGTTTGAGTGGTGCACTAGTTAAGAGATCCATCTTTTGCCTTTTTCTTTCACTTTTCCACCTCCTAGTTCTTTTCATAGGTCCATATCCTAAATAATCATATTATTTATATCAATATTATGGATACCAGCCGTATCAAATTTTGTCCTCATACGTACAAAAAGGTAATGGCAAGTAGGTCAACAAGGCCGGACCTGATGAGAGGCCCAAAAGGCCTCCTCCTCAGGCCCAGATTTTTAGGGGGCCCAAAATTTTCGCCTTTTATTTTATTTATTATTATTTTTTTTAATAGAGACCACTTATCCTGCAAAATTCAAAACCTCCCAGAAGCTTCCAAAAGAGGAAATAGCGCAAAGGCAGGGGCTATAGGTACAGAAGTAACAGAACCTAGATGAAAGAAACTGAGAACGATGGTGAAGGTCAGAGCTATTGTGGTGTCCCGTGGCTGTTATCACCGATTTACCGTCAACAAGCAACCCTTGATTCATCTATTCCTTTTTCAATTTCCACATTGTTTTGGCCTTTGGGTAGGTATGTCTAAATTCCAAAATTTTCCCCTCGTCGTTCACTTTCTTGTAGCAAGCACATATTAACATATACTAGTATTTCAATTTTTCTCCTTTCTTAACTGTATTCTAGGATTTTGGAATTGGATATATTTCTATTATTCTAGGATTTTGCAATTGGATTTTTGGAATTGGATGTAATTGTTGTTATTTCGGGATTCAACAATTGATTTTTGGAATTGGATGTGCTCTGTTCTTCATCTTGATCTTGCTGTTATGCTGTACTTTTTATTTCTTCACCTGTTTTGAATCTTTTGAAGGCAATTTGCCATTTTCCCTACTTTTAATTAAATATTCGAATGTGATTTGGAGGAAAAAGAATGGATTATAATTAATTTGAATCTTTGATAGCAATGCTCGAGCACAGAAGAAGAGAAAGGGAAGGGTTTCTATTTCATTTCAATGTTGAATTGGTCTCGATTTTATACAAGCAATTCAAAGTCAATGTGGGGTGCTCTTTTTATGATTGAATCCATAAAGATAAAAGGGATGGCCAGGTTGGGCCCCAATTCCAAGTCATAAAAATAAAAAATTGGGAGATAAGAAAGAAGGAGATAAGAAAGCAAAAGTATTATCATTTCCATTTTGTCTTTGTTCTGTGACATTTGCTAGATATTATTTATGGACCACTTTGGGATTCTTGCAAGTTATTTTTTGGGGTCCCAATCCCAAGTCATAAAAATAAAAAATTAAAGGAGTTAAGAAAGTAAAGATGTTATCATTTTTATTTTGCCTTTGTTCTGTGACCTTTGCTAGGATAATATTTTTGGACCACTTTGGAATCCTTGCAAGTTATTTTTTGGGATCCCAATCCTAAGTCATAAAAAAATAATAATAAGAGTCAAGAACGTAAATATGTTATCATTTACATTTTGCCTTTGTTCTGTGACATTTGCTAGGATATCATTTATGGATTGCTTGCTTATTTTTTGCCTTTGCTTTTTTCACCTTTCAATAATTGATAGTTGTTGAGTGACTTGAATCAAATATCATGGCTCCTAAATATGCATCTGGAGCTCAAAAAAAGAAAAAAAAAAAGAGAAAGAGTAAAGGCATTAATTTGAAGCCAGACTGGAGATATGGAGAAGTACTTTAATAACAAGAAACAAAAAGAGAATGAAGGAACACCAGAAAATTTATTGATTGAGGAACAACAGAATCAGAATGATAATGACAATGTGGATGAGCAGAAAGAGAACGAGGAAATGATTGAACCTACCAATGTGGAGAATCAAAGCAGAATGAGGTATATAATATTCAACATAAAGATTTAAATCAAGAGAATTGCTTTTCTTTGAATTTTGAAGATCCCGAAAATTGGAAAGACGTCCACGTTGATCAAAAGACGAGGGACTTTTTAGTTGAAATAGGTCCAAAAAGAGTTGATGGCATCTTGTTTCCCAAAGATAGTCAAGGTAGACATTTTCAATCGTCACACTATAAGCGGCTACTTGCAAATGGGCAGATAACTGATAGAATATGGTTAGTGTATTCCATTTCTTTAGACAAGATCTTTTGCTTTTGCTGCAAGTTGTTTAAAACAGAAAGAACGATGAAAAGTATTGGTCAATTGGGTAACGAGGGATATAAAGATTGGCATAATATGCATCGTCGCCTTACAAATCATGAAGTGTCTAAAGAGCATATAGGCTGCATGACTAGTTGGATGAAACTAGAAAATAGGCTTCAAACAAAGCATACAATTGATAAAAGCATACAATTGGCCATCAACAAAGAAAGAGAGCATTGGAGACAAGTGTTAATGAGGATAATTGCTATTGTTAAATGACTTGCTAAAAATACTTTGGCATTTCGCGGAGTTGTGAGCAACTTCACGTGGAGAACAATGGACTTTTTTTGCAAATGATAGAAATGGTTGCTGAATTTGACCTAATAATAAGAGAACACATTCGACGTGCTCAAGCACGTGAGATTCAGTATACATATCTTGGTCCTAAGATTCAAAATGAATTGATATAAACTTTGGCAGGCGAGGTGAGAAGTACAATTGTCACAAAAGTAAAACATGCAAAATATTTTTCTATCATACTTGATTGTACTCCAGACGCAAGTCATGAGGAGCAAATGTCTCTAGTAATACGATGTGTGGATGAATCAATGGACTCGTCGATGGTAAAAGAGTATTGGATTGAATTTTTGAAAGTGGACGATACATCAGGACTTGGATTGTCCACTGAACTTACAAATGTGTTAACGAATCTTAAACTTGATGTTGATAATATAAGAGGTCAAGGGTATAATAATGGAGCTAACATGAGCGGGAGACATAAAGGTGTACAAAAAAGGTTACTTGAAACAAATCCTAGAGCTTTCTATACTCCATGTGGTTGTCATAGCCTGAATTTAGCATTATGTGATATGGCAAATTGTTGTTATAAAGCTATGTCCTTCTTTGGAATGATACAACGCATCTATATAGTGTTCTCTTCTTCTCCCAAGTGATGGAAAATTTTTAAAGATAAGGTTGAAGGTCTGACACTTAAGCCATTGTCAGAAACACGTTGGGAAAGCCATGTGAAAAGTGTCAAGCCTATAAAAGAGCAATATGTACAAATAAGAGACGCTTTACTTGACTTGATAAATATTGCTAAAGATCCTAAAACAAAGAGTGAAGCTGAGTCATTAGCAACACATGAACCTGAAAATTTTGAGTTCTTACTTGGTATGATCATTTGGTATAAGTTGTTGCATGCTTTAAATACTGTTAGTAAATTTTTTCAAGCCGAAAATATGGATATTGATGAGGCCATCAAACTTTTAGAAGCACTTATTTTGTTTCTCGAAAATTATAGAGAATCTGGATTTGCCAGTGCCATGGATGAAGCTAAACAAATAGGAGTTGAAATGGGAATTGAAGCTGTTTTTCAAGAGAAACGTAATATTCGAAGAAAGATGCAGTTTGATGAAAGTGGTAGTGAAGAGGTAACACAATCAGCTGAAGAATCTTTTCAAGTTGATTATTTTCTCTTTATAATTGACCAAGCTCGATCTTCACTTCAAACTAGGTTTGAACAATTTAAATATTATGAAGAGACATTTGGATTTTTGTTTAATTGGGAGAGATTAAAGAGTATGCATGCTGACAGTTTGTTGAAATCTTGTAAGAATCTTGAGCAGTATTTGAGCCATAATGGACATTCAGACATTATTGGTGATAACTTATGTACGAAGTTTTTAGTTTTGAAGTGCTATTTACCTGGAGAAATAAAAAGAGTAATTGATGTACTAAATCACCTGAAGAAAATGAATGCTTGTTTTCCGAATGCTTGCATTGCTTACAAGATTTTGCTCACTATACCAGTTACATTACATCAGCAGAAAGAAGTTTCTCCAAATTGAAATTGATCAAGACTTATCTTTGATCAACCATGTCATAGCGAAGATTGAATGGATTGGCTATGTTGTCCATTGAAGAAGAAATAGTTAAAGAACTCGACTATACAAAATTGATTGATATTTTTGCCTCAAAAACTGCAAGACGAGTTGTATTTAAGTGATGGTTTAGAACATTTTCTTTTACATCTTTGTATTGCTATTTGATTATAATATAAATATTTTGAATTTCATTTTTTTTTTGTTGCTTTATCATGGATTTTATGTTAAAAATTTAGTTCCTTAAAACTCTTGTAAATAATATATAAAAAAGAAATCATTGTCTGCTATGAAGTAGGGGCCCGAATTCTGAATCTCGCCTCAGGCCCCGTGAAACACAGGTACGGCACTGTAGGTCAAATGCGATTTTGTTAATTAATTTTGTATTTTCGGGAAGATAATGGTGTACTCGAGGCACTGTATTTAACTTGCCTGTTAAGAGGTACATAGGGAGATTGCATGATCTAGATTATTGGGGATCTAAAGGGGTTACTCCAAATAACATTTAGCACTTTGACTAGGTGTCCGTCTTACAACGATTAATCCTGGAGTCTACGATCCAGCCCTTCTTCACACAGACCAGGTAAATCGCAGGTTATGTCCCAAACTGGCCAGGGTCCAACAGCATTTTCAACTGAACTATCAAAGTGTCGAGCGAGTCAAACCTATGTACGTGCCTTGCCTTCCACGAGAACTCTTGCCTTTCAGGAGAAAGCATGCCTTCCAAGAGCCCCATGAATCGAACCCGAGACCTCTGAATTGCTCGCCTTGAAGAACTTCATCCTTTGCTAGTTGAGATGTGTCCCGGGGACACCTTGAATGACTATAATATTTATATAAGTAGTGTGGTTACCAGCCATATTAAATTGTGTCCTTATACGTACAAAAAGGTAAAAGCTAGAAGGTCAAAAGCGATCTGTTAATTAATTTTTTATTTCTAGAAAGATTATAGTGGACTCGAGGTACTGTATAATGTATTTGACTTGCCTTTTAAGAGGTACATAGGGAGATTGCATGATCTAGACTACTGGGGATCTAAAGGGGTTACTCCGAAAAACATTTAGCTCCTGGTGGGGATTAAAACTAAAATTTTAGTAAATTTTTATTAAAGTTAAATTAGTAAAATGTATGGTTAAAAAGTTATAGATCTTATGAAGTATATTGTTGAAATTAATTATTAACTTTGATTTAGGTTAAATTATAGATTTTAATCCCTACCAAATAGGGGGCTTAGCATTCGTTTTGTTTGAGTTAAAAAATAAAAAAAAAATTGATTTTGATAAAAGTAATTAAATGAATATTTGAAAAGTTAACAAAAAATCATGAGTCTCTTGAATGTGTGGTTGAAAATAATTTCAAAGGAAAATGAGTTTTAGAAAAGTGGAGGCCAAACAAAGACTTAGACTCTGTTTGATCCCCATTTTTAAAAATAATTTTTTTTCGAACTCATTTTCAACCATATATTTTATGGAATCTACAACTTGTATCAAATTTAATAGCCACACATTCCAAAAAGGTAAGACCAAACATCAAAAGGCAAAGGTTAGTTATCCAAAAATTTCTCCCAAATTAAAGGCATAGATTACAATAAAATATTAATTATACTTCCATAAGGAAAGTCTTAACCTTAGTTGTTGATTTTAATTAGGAACTTGAACAATTATACGTTACTACTGCAATTTTACATGAGAGTTAGACAAGGCATTCTATATAAAATAGCTTTAGGGCTTTGAGGTTCAAGGGAAACATTAAATTTTGTGCCTCTTTTAAGTTCACTCTATGAAATAAAACAAGCTTCAATTCAGCGGTAAAAAAGGGTTACATACGTTATTATCTGTACTTTTAAGAATTTGGAATCCGATGACTATAGTTCTTTACTAATGTATGCTAATGATACACGTTGATAGGGGGCTAACATGGTTAACATAATCAAATTGATCTCAACTTTTGGTAATTTAATAACCATTAAACTCACAAGAAAATATGAACAATCTTGTCTAAAGATTTAGATGAAATACTCTGCATTAAGTGGAATTATATTTTCTGCATGATCGTACTATAGAATCAAACTCAAAAATAGTCCGTTCAATACATTTCAAGTATATTGGTTTCAGTTGCGACAATAATAAATCACAATCCCAAATACTAAATCAGTCAACACTACAACCTTCTAGTATAATGAGTCAATCTTTATATATTGATTGTGAGCATATTATTTATGACCAAAATTATTTTATATGGTCTTACATTCATCTCTTTTAGAATTCTTACCAGTAAGGTCAAGAACTAGTTTGGAGGAAACCAAATTCCAGTATCAACTCAAAAATGTTTGACAAATATTTATATAAAATTTAAAAATATCCAATTAAATTTTATTCACGCATGTTATAGGATTCACAAATTCATCTATGTATCATTTATTTCTATCCAATGATAAACAAAATTATTTATAAATACTTCCTAAACAAGCTTAAAATGAGAGTTTCATGTATGATCCAAATATATATGATAAGTGTATTTTGTACACTTAGAGAGTTAGAGTATTTGTTGTTGATTTTAATAAATTATTGCTTAATTTTGTGTAAAATCGTGTTTGTTAGGCAAAAATCGATGCAAAAATGTGGAACTAGAAGAAAGGAACAAGAAACAGGGGAAAATGAAGAAATTGGAAGTTTAGGAACCAAAATTCAATACTTCAAAAAGCTGATTAGGACTGCATAGCGAGGAATGGAGAATGTATTGAGTCAATTAAATTCAAATGAAAATAAAGGACTGAAATTGCATGAGGAAAGGCCGTCAGCCCAAAAGACGAACCATGCATGCGTATGGCTCTGGCACTTGCGCATGCAAGGTTCATGAAGTTCGTCCCTATTGCTAAAAAAGAGCCTTCAATGGCTCACGCATCTCTTGATTTCTTTGAAATCAATTAGAAATTGATCCCTAAATTTTCTGGACTAATGAATGATATTGTCGTGGTCAAGAAACCACTCAAATTTTGCACTATTGAGAGCATATCTAAGAATAAATTCAGGACGGACAAATACAAAAAATAAATAAATAATAAAAATAAATTACCTAAAAGTTTTTTTAATTAACATTTGGGCTGGAGAGACGGGCTGTAGCACAGCGTAGCCCATCCCTAAATCCGCCCCCGTCCACTATAATTATATTATTATATCAATAGGGTGGATCTAACCAACCATATCAAATTGTGTCCTCGTCCGTACCCAAACATAAAGGCAAATAGGTCAAAATCTTATTTTGTTAATTAATTTTGTATTTCCGCTAAGATTATGGTGGACTTGAGGCAATGCATTTGACTTGCCTTTTAGGAGGTATACAGAGAGATTGCATGATCTAGAATCACTCCAAATAACATTTAAAGTGGAGTGCGCACTTTCTTTTACTTGATTTAATATGACAATAAATGTAGTACCAAACATCGAAAGGTACATAGAGAATAACTAGATATTTAAGTTTTAAAATTTGTATTCCCCCACAAGACCTAATTAAGGCCCCGTTTGAGCCCTCATTAATTTGAAGTGATATATTATGGAATAGTGATTGATATTTGATAGAGAATATGAAGTTAAAAAAATGGAAAAGTTTTATATTTGCGTGTAATATTATTTTATTGAAAAATGTGTGGTTGAAAATGAGTACTGTAGAAAAAATAATAGAAAAGGATGGGGCCAAACAGGAGCTGAATACAAGGCGAGGTTAGCTTTAAAAATAAAAATAAAAATAAAAAATCTCCGAACTATAGGCATAGATATTACAATGAAATATTAATTTTACTAAGAATAGTCTTAACCTTAGTCGTCCATTTGAATTAGGAACTTGAACACTTGTATGTTACAACTGCAATTTTACATTGAGAACTAGAAGAGGTAATCTGCATGAAATATGAGCTTGATGGAGTTGAGGCTCAAGGGAAACATTAAATTTTGTCTCTTTTAAGGCCACTTTATGAAATAAAACAGCATGAAGTTAGTGGTTTGAAAGGTATGATAGCTTTGTACATAAAACTATCACTAGAAATAAAATGATTATTGCCTAAACTTTAAGAGTTTGAATCTGGATACTAATATTTATGCTGATAAGAGTGATGATACACGTACAGGTACTGATTCACAAAACTTGTACCGATCACTCACGTACATGGGGTGGGTGGTTGGGATTTTTTTTTTCTTTTTTTTTTTTAACACAAATGTGTCCCACTCACATACATTGGGTGGGTGGCTGGGATATATTTGTTTTCCTTTTTTTTTTTTCCTTAACACAAATGGGTCCCGTGTGGGACCCATTATTTGTGAGTGTTCACAGAACCCTGTACACCCAACATTTCTCTGTTGATAATACATGGTTGAATGTGCCTCATGATAAGTTTGATTTTAATAAAAGCTGATGTTGGGAGAACTTTGATGAAATCACTACTTAAAGCCCTCGTTTGGTTCCTATTATTTCAAATTTTAGCCTATGTTTGAGCCACATTCTAAGAAAAAATGCATTATTCATATCAAATCAATGGAAAATGTGTGGTTAAAAAAAATTAGATTTGCGTATAATATTATTTTATTGAAAAATATGTGGTTGATATGATATCAAATCACTGTTGAAAAATGTATTTTTTTTTTTTTTAAATAATGTGGCTCAAATAAGGGCTATATAGGTGGAATAATATTTTTTTGAAAAATGAGTGGTTAAAAAAAAGGGAAATATTTAGGTTTGCATAGAATATTATTTTATGAAAAATTGCGTAGTTAAAAATAGGAAAGAGAAAAATAAAATTTAATTTAATGGGGGCCTAACGATAACTTAATTGGATTATAAATCAATTTTTGTATGATAAATTCGATATTGGATGACTAATAATGAAAATAAGTGAAAAATGGCTATAAAAGGGCTGAATGAGAAGAATTATAAAAGTCCATAGACTTAATTTGAACCAAGTATGGACAATTGACGATGACGTGGCGATTAAAAGATAGAGGATCTTAATTTCAACCATGAAATCCATCTGAATAGAGGAAGGAATTCAGGAACTAAAGTGAGAGGTCGCCAAAGCTAACAACTTGCTATGTGCATCTGATGAAATCCTGCAGGCCAATTCGCAAAGTCATGC